GATTTACCGGAATCTAGCTTGCATTATCTTTTATTGCTCAATCTGTACTATTTGCCAATTAAATCCGGAATAAAATCTACACTAAAGTAGATCCCATACTTTAAGAAACCCATTAAAAGTCACGAGCCATAAGCAGAAATACAAGAAACTTGTTATAGTTCATTGGCTTTCATCTCTCGTTTGTTTACGCAAAATTTGAGACATCTCAAAAACGGTTAGACTTACGATGACTAAGGTGAATTGTACTTGGAAATCCCAAAATTTGATAATATACACGATGTTCTATTTAAAATAAGCAAGCTCTACCTTTTTGAAAATATTTTAGTCGAATTGCTTCCATCAGTGATCAAATTTCCATAACTGTATCTCTATAGTATTTCACACTAGCTTTAAGGGGCAGGTTTTGTTCCGCTGGTTCAATGAGGATTAGATTGCTATAATAATATCTACGCAATTCAGAACGAAGTGAGTGGTAGAATAATTCAGTGTTCCTCCCTGGACACGTCTTGAGTGGTGGCGTATTCAGAAAAATGTTCCATTCACCACAAAATATGTAGCAAAATACAGTAGCGCTTACATACATAAAGCTTTGCATGTGAATGATAGGATAGAATTCCATTCTCCGCACAACATGATATTGCCTGCGGCAGTGTGTCTGTCTCAGAAGCGTTAGACATTTGCTCGCGAGGATTTTTCATGCAACCGGATATGACGGGAACCATTGTCAAAGGAATACCGAGGAAGATAGATCTTTTCGTGTCTGAGATTATATTTTTTGTTTCAACATTTGACGATCACCAGGATCCGTCTTATTTCCCACAGGAAAGCTGCTTGTCGATATTCAAAGATATGGGGACGAGAGTGAGAAGGTACGAAACTGGTAGCTATGTGCATAAATTTACAGATACAGCGTGGTTTTCTACTATGAGGGAGATCAATACCTTTGGTAGACCGTATGAAAAATGATTCGTCAATAGCCAATATCTAAGGACAGCACTGTAGTTTGAACAAACTTGAAATATCGTTTTTTACATATTCTATGATAGGGTAGTAATATAGTTGTCGTCACCCTTCTTGGCGGGTCAAAGTAAGACTATAGTCGAAATCACGAAAGATGACGTCATCATTTTAGTCTGTAGTAAAGACAAACGACAGCGATTTGTGAATCTATTTAATGAAGTTTCTGATATGTTAGACATAGACAAACACAATTTTATTGTCTAAACAAACTGTATTGCTAATTTGCATGTATCCAACAAAGATAGACGATGTTTTCATAGGTTTGTACCAACATCGTCTATTTGCACTGTCACTTGAACCATCACGAAACTGTTGGTCTCCGACAGCGTGCGCATGCGTCAATTGTGGACGATACCGTGATCGTACGAATTAAATCTCTTGGTATAGCTGTTCATCAATCAGCCTTCATCCTCATCCCTACCGCCTCGTGTACTGTGGTTCCGTGGCTCCTGTCACCATAGAAGTTAACCTCGATTTTGTGTGTCGTTTTCGTTTGCTGCATTTTTCTGCTTTATAAGTTTACAACCTATTTTTCTATTTTAGTTTGAAAGGGTTTTAACTAAGATCAAGATGAGTGACGACGGATTCAGCGACTTTGCATCGGAGGAGTCTTCTTCGGATGATGACTTAGAATTTATGCAAGACTCGAAAGTGAAAAACGAAGACTATTTGGGTAATTTTGAAAGTTAATAACGAGGAACAAAGCATAATGAGAATATTCACTTTTCAGAGACAACTGTCCCACAATATTCTGATGAAACATTTTTCGAGCATTTCCGCGTGTCGAGAAATGTGGCCAACGAAATAAGCGGCATGTTCCAGAACAGTGAATGCTACAGAAGCAAATCTGGCCCATATGGCAAACTGTTATCTGGTGACCAGGTATTCACTTATTATTAATTTGTAGGATATAGTAGTAGCAACATATATATATATACAGGGTGACTTCGAAGTTGAGTCATTTATTTTAACAGTGAGTAGATCTGATCAAAAGAAATGTTTTTTTCCTTTACCATTTTTCTGGTAAAATTAAAGTAACAAAGTTATAGCCCTTTGGAAGTTTGAGTACCGCCCTGTCTCAATGTGCTCGTGTTTGGCGACAACGGATATAATCCGCCGTATCGGTTCATCGCATCGGAAACAAAAGAGCGAAAGAATTTGGAACGAATTATTTCATTCATTTGTATACAGTCAGTGTCAGTGAATAGTTGTATCTGTTGCGTGGCTCAAACGAAATAAAAAATGGCACATGTTTATGCGGATCGGTTTCCCAATCGAGTGCAACCAACCCCTCGTGCCTTTGTTAATGTAGTACAACGGGCTCGTGAATCAGGTGACTTAAGACGATCAAATACAGGTCCGCACTGAAATACTTGTCGGGAGGATACTTTATAAAACAAGGTAAACATTTTTTTTTAATTTGTTTTTTATTTTTACACACATATTTTGGTTTATCTTCCTTCTACAATCATTATCTGAAAATTAATGACTCAACTTCAAAGTCACCCTGTATATATATATATACATATAATTTATTTGTTTATAAATTGAACATACAAAACTGCTTAAAGTACTTACACAAAATAATATATCTAATAAGATTCCTGTTGACTGATTAAGTCAGTATTTTGTGTAAGTACTATATAATATAATAAATAATATATATAAAGATATTATACTTACTTAGAAACCAATTGTAGGTACTGGTCTATTTATGGTACGTTGGGCATGAGGCTGCAGGATTCAGGGATGTAGCAGATAGATATAATATTTCTATAAGCTCAGTCACAAGAATTTTAAAGAGACTGACACTGTTCCTTAGCAATTTATCACCAACAGTAATTCAATGGCCTGATGACAGTGAAAAAGAACAAATTGAAGCACATTTCAGGAATAATGGGTTTCCAAGAGTCATCGGTTGTATAGATGGATCGCACATAAAACTTGATAAACCAGAAAATGACCCTGAATCATACATAAACAGAAAAGGCTTTTACTCTATTCAAGTAAGTGTAGTAATTGATCATGTATAATACATATAATGTCAAAAGAAATGATATATTTGCAATTATATGGGCTACATTTATTTGTATACAGCTATTGAAATTCTTCTGAACAATACATACATATACATTACAATGCTTCACTGCAATATAAAGATGCAAAATCTCAGATTTATTCAACATCTCTTGTCTTCTGCACTGCTACTGTATGTCATGCATTTTCAGAAACATGATGTCTAAGTTTTTTAGTGAGATTTATATAATAGAAAGTTATTTCATGTTTATTTTTCTTCATTTTAGATCCAGGCTGTGTGTGATCATCAGAGAAGGTTTAAAGATTTATTTGTAGGGTATCCAGGATCAGTTCATGACAGTCGAGTTTTTCGGACTTCTCCTCTAAGTCAGACATTAGAACAAAAATGTGGGACCTGTTTTATACTGGGAGACAGTGGATACCCTCTTCAAAAAAATCTACTAACACCCTACAAAGATCGAGGGACTCTAACTCAACAACAGATAAATTACAATATAAAGTTATCTAAAAATAGAACATTCTTTTGGTATGCTGAAGCAAAAATTCCGTCAACTCTATCACATCAAGTTACGGAAGATACCTTTGATAGTCCATTTTGTAAGAGCAGTCTGTGTTCTCCATAATATTGCTATCAAGGATGAACTTCCGGATGCTAATCTAATAGAGACAATCGAGGCTGAGAATGCTACAGTAGCCATTGGTGATGATAATGAGGATATAGAAGATGATGGTAGTGCTGTTGCTATTAGGGACCACATTGCAGCTATATTATGAAGTGGGACAGCTAATAATTTCATAAAAATATGGGTCCACAAATGCTCCATTTTTATGATAAATGGTAGCTTTCCATCTTTCACAGTTTATTTTACATTCATCAAAATGTATGCATATTAAAAACTTGAGCATCGAATCTATTCAATCACAGGTTTTTGATAAATGTAAAATAGAAAATTAAAGGTGGAAAACATTTAACACATGGACACATATGAATAGAGCATGACTGGGTCCATTGTCATGTGAACTTTTCTTTACATTTTACAATATTTTATCTGACCTTAAATGTCTGTCACCACATTTTGTAACACCTTGTATAATATCATTTAAATAGTTTGTGTTAATTTTAAAGAAACTCATGTGCATAATGAGGTGAAAGTATTTATTACTGCTTTGTAAAATCTATACATGTACATTTCTCTTGTTTTATGTTTATAGATTGTCTTTTATTGCAGTCTTCCCCCAAATCACAAATGTATTTGTAGTGTTTAGAATCTAATAAATGAGTTGAATTATATGACTATGTGTATGAATCAAGAGCTGTAGCAGAAGGTATCCAGTATATGGATGGTCATGACAATACAATATGTGATCTCCTTGTTAACTAATAACTGAAAATAAATTGTCAAGATAGATGCCAATGAAATAGTAATGCGAATTAATTGCTTTTTCCTTGTAGCGTTAATAACAATAATAAAGGAGCACCAACAATTTAAATAAAAGAGAAGTATGAAAATCAAAAAAATATATTTCCATATAATTAACATTTAAAAAATCAGTCTTCATGTTGCATAAAGTATTAATGAACAATTAAAATCACTTGAAACTTATCTCATGGTTCTATGCTAGATTAGTTTTATTCATCCCTGGGCAGTCAGTTAAACCACATGAATTGAATGAAGTTATTTACTACTTTATGTCACAGCAGCATTTTTAAAGTACACAATAAGAATAGACAGTTAAGAGTTACACTGACGATCTATATTGATATGTATTTAGAATCAGAGCTATTTAATAGAAAACCCTTCATAATGTTACTGTAACTTTCAACATTTCATGTCTTTTTTTTCTTATTTTGCACTATGATAAAGGCTGCCAGGGCAGCTGAAATGTCCATAAATAAGTCCACTCATGTGTTTTAATTTATGAATTCTTTGTACCATCACAACATAAATGACACACTTGAAAGCTAATTAGAGATACTGCAACAAAACATAAATCAGTCTATCCAAAAGGAATTGCACAACTGAAAACTAATCAAAAACAAGCAGATTACACCCTGTTCAAATGACACTTGCACCTATTTCAGCCTACCAAATAAGCTTATACGTAACTTTAAAATAAACTAATTCCATAACACTTTTCAGTATGTGGTAGGGGAAGGTTTTAACTTTGATTTAGACACCTGTCAATGCAAACCATAAGTTTCAACACAGAAAATGCTTATTTGTAGTGATGTTCAGACATAAATTGCTTATAACTCGGAAATGGTCAACTTTAAATAATTTACAGAGTTTTGGGCTGTGGTTGTTGAGAATACTGGGATCACTTGACACATAGGTCACTACTAACTTGTTTCTGACGTTATGTTAAGCATTCAAGTTATGAACAAGTTAATGTCTGCATACCCATTATTTTCAAAACTGTTGAGTATCTAATTAAGGTTAAGACCTTCCTCTACAAGGTCCTGAAGAGTACTGGAAAAAGAGTGCATCCCCATTTGTTTGAACTTTATGTACTCATTTGCAATAATATAAAACTAGAACACAAATCAAATTTGAACATAACATAATATAAAATTAATATTTCAATACTGAACGCAACAAAACTAATAAACTATGACTTAACTTTAATGGCAAAATACAGTAAAGCTAGGAGCTTGTTTTGTGACAGTTACACTGCTTTTCTTTGAGGATGTTGTTTCGTTCCTCAATCAGTTGGTTCCTTTTTTCATTTCTTCTAATTTTAAGTTTTCTATGTGCAGTTTTTCCTCATAATACGTTTTGCGGTCACTTCTTATTTTTTCCATAATACCTTGTCTTTTTCGAATTATCTGACTTTTCTTCTGTGGTGTCACTGCTTGCAATGATTTTGGGCTGCTTACACTTTTAGATGGTGAAGACACATCTGGTGCAGCTGTAGTGATAGCATTATCACTGTTCATATCTATTTGAGTATCTATTTGATCACTTGCTAGCAGCAATTCAGGACGGATATTTTTTTTTCTTGAGAAATACCGTCTCCATTTCATGTTTATACTCAAAAAATGTTCTTCCCCTACCTAAAATTACAGGAAAAAATTAAATTACATCCTGCGAAGCATATGCAAAGTTGCTTTAGCTTTTACATCTAACTATGGTGTATCTCATTGGATTCATAATTAAAAGGCAATTTTAATTACTTCTCAGCTTTAGGAGTCCTCTTACCTGTTTGCCTTTGGTTATCAACATATTTTTTATAGTTCCGCTCCAGTACCCTCCATCTATTCATGCAATTGTTTGGCGTTATAGTCTAGTAAAGCCTGTGATATTTTCCACCACATCATCTTTGAATTTTTGACGTCGAAGGAACCTAGCTTCCTTTTAAAGGTTCCATAATCTTCAATGAGAATTTTGGTTGCCTGATGACTCCATCTAAATTCTGGTGCTCGTGCCGTGGAACTCTCGCTCTGCAGAGCACTTGTATTTGGCATAACAAGAAACTCGTTTAGTTCTGTAAACAGAAGGCAGTTAGCTCCATACGTCCCAACCCCATAGTCGTCAAACTTACCATAAGCTGCAAAACAACATTCCTTATCCTTATAACCTTCAAATTTCAACATTCTAATTTCTATTCAATGCGCATGTGTGGACTCACAGTCCTCGCTACGGACCAGGTACTGTTTTGACGGTCCAAAAACCGTTCGTTGAACTGTCGGAGATCTGTTGGAACAGTGTATCAAGCGTCCCATGAACCGTCATAGGTTTGTGTTGGAACACTTCAAGCGGACTGCGCACGTGCGTGACGGTACAATGTACGGTACCCAGCGTTGTTGGTACAAACCCCATGTTGCATGATCGATCATATTTGAAAGATGAATAGTTAGGTTATGTTAAAGCAGGTTATGTTGTTTTCGAATAATACTTTGGTCTTTGGTGTTCCTGTCTTAAGGTTTTCTACTCATAACTGTTTTTTTCAAAACAAAAACTCCCCACTAAGATTATTATTAAGGTATCACTCAAAACCATGAAATAAAATGAAAATAAAAATAATCGGTTAAATAACCTAACTTCTCAAAGTCATAATATAAATTTGTTGTCATTGTGTTCCTGACATCGTGATTTTATCATCGACGTACGTCCATTGATTACTTCAGTACAATTTAGGGTATGACGTAATAGTCATCTTTCGTGATTTTGACTATACCAGTCTCTCTTTATACACATATATCCATCTCCCTCATACATACACATGCAGCTTACCCCTGTGCGTGAACGTTTGTTCGGTAAGCTCAAACATATACTTTTTCAGTTGTGTCTCTCAGTCTCGGAATCTTGGTCGATACATATGTCACATTTGTCAGAGTGACAACTGCCTTGACATCGGCTTAAAATTCGAGTTGTCCTGTTATCAATCTTCAATATAAAATTATACAATGTCCGGAAATATGATCAATGGAGAAGGCCGACAGCCCATGGTAAATTTATTATGAAAACAGCGGTCTCCTGTAACCCACTTTCGTAGCAGATGCGCTGAAGATTAGTCTGCACAGTATTCCGCCCATGGTACGGAGTCTCGGTCTGTTTACCTATTTCATATGGCGTTGATAACTTAACCGCAACGGTTACTACAACTATACCAATAATAACACTTAAGGGAGTTTTTGACCTGAAGCTTTGTTTGAGTTGAGACCCCGGAGTTATACAACTGGTCGGTGTTTTCTGAACAGTTGATCAAATAACTGAATACCTTGTTACCGCAACTAAACACCTTATTATTTTTTAATCGTGTTGATTTTTTCATTCTCTTTGTTATTTTACTCCTAGATGTTCTTTAAACATCTCCACTTATACATAACTGAAGCAAATCTGAAAATAAGAACAAACAAGATCCATGAACTTCCGTAGTGACAATAGTCGGTTTTCCCGTTTTCGTTTGTTCTTATTAGTTTATCTCATTCCGTTGCTATTTTTTCTTCTTTATGGTTTAATAATTGTTTAGGCATCGCCTACGCTACCGTCTACTTCTTCTTTCTGATCGTCTTGCAATTTATGATCCATTTTGAAAATACAAAATATGTGTCAAAATACAGAATGTTCAGTTGCTAGATGGCGAGGCTGCTACTGATTGTATCAGTAAATGTACCTCAGTTCATGTATGAAAAATAAAGGAAAATGATTTATCCAGTAAATGTACCGGTGTTCAACTATTATTGTCACTGGTTCGAGTGCCTGTTTTTGTAATTGTGATCCAGATTGTGGCATGGTAGGTTCATAATGTAATTTGTAACTTTAGAAGAAATGCGGGAAATTTGTTTGTTAGATAAAATTCAACGATATTTTACTACGGACAAGATATTGAAGATATGCACCAGGTACAGAGTGCGCGGCATATACTTCTCCCCCGCATGCTTGTTATATTTGAAACATACCCCGAGCTGCAGGCATATTTTGGGTGATATGCACTCGCACACAATTGAAAATCACTCCAGACAGCCGAATGACGAGCGAGTTCAAACTTGTACTGAAGGCGGATCACATGTTCCCTTGTTTCTCCTTCAAGCCCGGCGCCTCCAGTGTTGCCAAATCTAGCGCTACGTTGCCAGTCTCATCACTTAATTTACAGACATTGTATGTTTGACCACATATTTATTTAGGACTTATCCTAAGGGTTATTTGTTTAACTTCAGGTCATTGAATCCCAAAATCCACGCGACAAAGAAACCTCGGATCACAGGATTTTTTATCTAACTTAGACCAAGAACACTGGTAAAAAAACCAAACTAATGAAACGCGTATGTCTATTCGATAACAAAAAACTAATATCTTTCTAAAGCCAAAAGACCCGCCACTAAACCAATTACACAGAGGGCAACCTTCACCGCGTCTCAGGTATCTATCTGGCCGCTAGGCCACATACTTGACTAACCATTTTGTATACATGAAAGAATTCCGAAATTATGTGCCCATTTAACGTGACAAAATTCATTAACGAGATCCATCGGTCTGATATATAATGGTACAAGTTGATATGTCAAGATAAGGCATTAATTAAATATTTTCTAACCTTCGTTTTTTACGCATAGATTAGCATTATAAGCGTTCTTCGGTTGGAACGATAAGGAAATTACAGTATATAAAAAGGGTGAGAGGTTCTTTTCTAGAAACAAAGAGTTAGTAGATTGACTCATCACTTTTTGCGTGTTTATCAAGAACTATAACCGTATTAAGGTAATTCTGTGAAAGTTCAGGCAACGGCCCATTCTTAGCCATGTCAAGCTCATTGCTATTTTGACCTTAAACTTAGCATGAAGGAAAATAATCAGTAATAGAAAAAAATGTTATGGCGTAGTCGGCCTTTCTACCAATCCTAATATAATTTATATGGGAGATAGAAGACCAAAATTGAAATACAAAAACAATTAAGCATTGGGTTTATTCGGATTAGTTGCTAATAAAGTTTTGGTCAAATGAATTAATGAACTTCACCGCATTGTACGTAAAACAGCGTTGAAACATGGCTGGACGGTATTGTGGCAATGTGAGGAGATGGTTGTTGGGCGTTTCCAAATTGTTAATCAAAATCCTTTTGCCTAAGATAAGAGGAAACATAGGTTTGTAATGTTTTGACGACAAATGTGACAAAGATGTTTTCCATCAATTTATGGAAGCTATTGAATGAGAAACGTGGTCATACCTTCTTAAATTGTTTATATGGCAGGAGAATGTATTTTTGCAGCCTTTATTTTACTATTTCAATCAGACATGGATAATAAACAATGTTGCAATGTGCTATTTTACTCAATATCAAAGACACACAACTTTTTCCTAATTTTTCTATTTAATATAGTTTTATTTGCATGTAGACGTATTTCCTCCTGCTGAAATATGACTCCTTCATCCAAATATAAGCCGTAATGGGAAAACTTTAATAAGGTATTATTGATAGAAATGTTTTATGTTGATTTGAGGAAAGAACGCTTTCCCTTAGCGCAAAGAAGTGAAGCTATCAATTCGTAAATTGGGCTTGTGGCGTATGTACACCTACATACACATTGTAAGGCTAGATTAATAAGGTTGTTTAGCCATGTGGTGGTTGCTCGGATAGAGATTATAGAAAACTTGGATTACGTGTTAGCGATATCAAAAGTATATATGAGGAACAGGAGAGCTCCTAATATGGATACCTGAGGCACGCCGCAACAAATAGACCCTTTTTCTGAATGTTTATTTTGTATCACGACATATTGATGTCGTTCATGCTGATAAGCTCATTTTTTGATAAACACGTTTCATCAAAATTCTTGTAGACTATTAATTCCACGCAAGCAAGCAATACAAGCAGTGTACGGTGAAACCTTTTAGGATCAAAGTGACAAATTTTTTTTTATCAGTTTCTTAGATGATAAATATAATTTTCCATAAAACTGCTTTTGTCATTTTTTACATAACTTTGAACGTATCAATAGAGCGCAGTACACATTTTAACATCAACAATAGTGGTTCTCTGTATCATGGGCCAGTTAAAAAACAGTACTAAAATGCTTTCCTTTTCTTGGAGCTTCAAGTAAAAGTCTATTAAAAGTAAAACTACTTGTTAGAACATGATGTTCAAGTCTGTGTTGACTAGTGAATATCTGTACTCTGAGCTCTGTAAAAATTTGAGAACCTTTCACAATAAATAAAATAAATATTACCAAAAGAAGCTTCCACTTAGATGTTAATTAAATAAACTGAAAATTAAAAAATATGTTTTGCTATTGTAACTATTTTAACGATGGTGTAGCTCCTCGTCCCAAGTTTACAAATAAAGCGTGTTATACTTTTTTTCATTCTGCTGTGATTTTGTTTGGAAACTCGAGACGAAGAAGCTTTATCATTTGAGTATTTCCAATACGCAAAAATATGTTTAAATTTTTAGTTCATTTCAAGAACATGCTAAATAGAATCTTTTAAAAAATGCCTGTTTATTTTATTTATTTTTTACTTTTCAGTATTTATGCCGGCAAATAGCTAGCAAACAAAATGGCGGCATTTAATTCATTTTATATTGTCACGCAAACCAAACGTGTGTGTAGCTTGCTCGATTGTCCAAGCCATTTCAATTTTTGGAGACATCTGGAAAATGAAAAACCTTCAAGTGTCTATAATGATACAAGGGACACTAGGAAAGAAGACTACCTAGCCATGAAAAATCAATTGAAACCCAGAAGCATTATATGTTAATAGTGACATATCTTCTAGCCTTAGTTACAAAATTTGAGTTAATTTTGGTAATTACTTTCCAATTAATAAAGTGAATTGTAAGGAAAAATGAGGGTATCGCAGTGTCATAAAATTTCTAACAAAAGCTGAAAAAAATTCTTGAGAGAATGCACGCCATCTATGGGGATGATGCGCCAACATATTGCACATTAGAATGTTGGTCGAAACACCTTTGATGGGGGGCGTTGATCCACAGAAGACCATCCCAGAAGCGGAACACCCAAAACAGCGACAAATGATAAAATGATTCTAAATGTTGAAGCCATGGTTCCCTAATATCGTCGTTTGAAGGTCCATACCATTACTATTAGTGAGGGATTGAATATATCGGAACCCAGCGTAATAATGATTTTCCACAACAATGTGAACAAGTAAGGTGTCAGCCAAGTGGGTTCCACCGCTATTGACTCTTGAACAAAAATTGGATATTTGGTACGAATTGTAACGGGCAACGAGACTTAGGTGCATCATTGGGAAACTGAGACAAAAACAGAAGTCGGTTTATAAAGGGTCTTTTGTAGAGAAAACAGACACAATTCAACAGAAACAAGTTTTTGTGACATTTTCAAGTGAGCAAGTGGCAGAAGAAATTTTAATGAAATTTCATTTTAAATATCAGCCAGAGCCAAAGTACTTTGTACTCAATATTTTGTTTATTGTCCCGGTAATGGGAAAGTGAAGATTATGAATACAGTATAAAAAATCCGAACAATAGAGGGTATAACTTTCAAGAACCATAATTAATACGATTTTAGTGAAAATTTTTGTTTCAGTTGCAAAATGCGTAATTGCCCTATTTAAGTCTTACTTCTATGTATTTTCCCAGTTTCAGTTCTTCTTGTCCATGTTGAGAACTCTGTGAAACTTATAGCTATGTAAACAGATATAGCTATGTAAACAGATCTTGGGAGTTGTAGCTATGTTCAGCCGTTTTAGCTTTTTAGTGTATAACCCTTTATTGTTGAAACACGTTATTAAATCCTTGTAGTATTTTCACTCCTTTCTCCTACTAAGAGTCTGCACATACAGGGTGTTTCTAATTTGGCCCTCACCATTGGGATCTTGGAAACTGTAAGGGATACGAAGTCGCTTAAATGGGGCAGTCAACAAAGTGACACTAAGAAGGTTTCGAAATTCAAAGTACTTCCGTAGAGTAACGGAAAAACTGAATTTTCTCAAAATTGCTCTGATTTTTTCCTGACCTTATTTATAT